CTTATTCCTATTGTAAATTTATTTATTTTTCTCTGCGAATGCTTATGTGAAAGTGCAGTTAAGTATCAACTCATTTTTGATTCAGGTCCGAATATACATTTGACTTATCAATATATATAATGGAATGATTTTCCGAACTTTGCTATTCCAACTTTGTTTGTCACTCCTTTAATACAAAGATGACTCCTTCTCGCAACCACGGAGCGTTTGTTAATCTATAAGTATGACAAAAGCCGATACGAACCCTCTGCCGAAGGTCAGTCAATACTTTTCACAAGTAACAATTTCCGATAGCTTCCTGATAAGCCAAGAAACACTTTTGAGTAACCATCGCTTTGCTTCGAGATTTAATAGGCATGTTACTTAAAAGTTTCTAAACTAGCGACTGTCGATCTACCAGCAGCAAATCCGAGAAAACAATGTAGTTGCTATGCTAGGGATATTTCAGATAGAATAGACTCCAATAACTTCGAACATTTTGACGGAATGAATAGGGCGCGATAGTTGGTGATATTCCAATCAGTGCAGTACGTCAACAATATTTTTCCAATAATTCAGCATAACTTCAAATAAATAAAGATGCTTCACACACAAAAATAAAAAAAAAGTATCGAAGAAAGAAGCAAAAAAACAAACTCTATAAGTGTTTTTACAATATGTGGCTGTAATATTATTAATTTGATCTACTGGCATTTACAAAATAGGTAGTTATTTACTCTAAGTTATTTTTTCCGAAAAATAAAAATGTACGGTGGCCCAGTATGAAATAATAGTATATTACATACCGAGTAGGGAAGTGTTTCATTACTGTCGAGAGATTTATATAGTCAATCGAGACGCGAAGCGTCGAGATTGACTAATAATCTCGAGACAGAAATGAAAACTTTCCTACGCGGTTTGTATACTATTTTATTTGCAAGCACACCATTAATTATGATTAGTCAATCAATTTTTTTAATATTAAAAAAATAAAACAAACATGCCAAAATGTGTCATTCGCTGCTTTGACGTTTTTACCTGACATGTTTTCATTGTTGCCAGCAAAGGTAAATAAATTAGAGTGAGGGAAATCGGTGAGCGAAGTCGAATAGGGAAATCGGTGAGGGAAATCGAAGAGGGAAGTGACACAGGTAAAGTGTCACTTCCAAATTTTTAAAAAGTCAGTAATGACAAGATTACATATATGATTGCAAATAAAAGTACTTACCAATGCATATTTCAAAAATTATTAGGGGTGGATTCAGATAATTTTGGAAATCAAAAAACAATACTCCATTTTATATTTGAAGTTCTCATGACGTGTATTAATTATTTTCATTAGTGATTGTTGGTTTCTCACCTTGGTGATATTAGAGAATGAAGAGTTCGATTGCTGGGTTTTTACCTAATAATAATCTACCTTTTTGAAGAAACTTATATTGTATTATTAGTGACTTTTGTAACCATATGCACCATTATTGTTTTTGATTCCTAAGCTTTTTATACAGACCTGATGAAGTGAGAAAATAACAATTTTTTATTTAAAAAGTTTAAATTTCGAGAAAAATCTTTTTTCCTGCCAGCGTGCAGAAAACGCGTTTTCACGCACTGATTTGAGTGCGTGAAATTTTTTTTACCACACGGCGTGCGCGAAAAAAGTTTTTCACGCACGCTGTGCCTGAGGAAAGTTTTACAAGCACTGATTTTTTTTTTTCAATTTTTCTCTCCATGTCATGCTTCTCAAAAATTTTAGATCTTTTTGAAATTCCTCTACCGTTTTTTCTCTTCAAGAAAGCTATTAGGTTTTCGTACTGACCAATATCGACCTCTTTAACGAGTTTTATACCATCAATCATTAATTCTACTTATAATAAAAATAATTGTTAATGTTCTGTGGTTAAAATTATTGCATTACGGAACATAATTAAAAAATCACATTTTTGACCATTTCTCTTATCAGTAGAGCCAAAAACAAACAAAAAAACAATACTTATGTCAATTTCCGCTCGCTCGTAGGAAAAATGTTGTACCTAACACGGGCGTAAAGTATCTTTTCGCACTTGTTAAGTAAATAACTATTTCACGTTCACTGCTTTCTTTCCTTACTTTTCAGGTGGCACTAATGATGGCTCTAAAGCGCTCTGCACAGATTCTAATAAAAATATATTTGCACGAAATAAAAAAACATTTTTCCACTTAAATATTTTAACATTCTAAATTTTACAACATAATGGTAAAAAAGTAATAATTAATAATTATTAAAATAGCAACAAAAATTAACAATTTTTGTTTGGTTACACTGTTAGAACATATCAGTTTGAACAGAACTGTCTGTCGCTTTTGGGTCATTTTATAAAAACAGTGAATTTAACTTTTCATTTCTTTATTATTTAAAATACAATAGAGAAGCCTCAGGATAATCAATTTGCTTCTTGTAAAATAAATTTACTTTCTTCCTCTTCTATGACGTCGTAGAAACAGTCTTGTAGGTATGTAGACATGCCATCATGCCGATATGTGTATTGCTGGTTGCTTCTAAAAAATAAACGAAAAGGGATTTTCTTAGTAAATAATTTTTTTGAATTTTTCTGCTAGATATCTTAAATATAGTACTATGGTTAATTTTCTAAAACCCAACCTCCCCTAATCACCTCAAAATATTCCTTAATATCCATTAGCAATAAATAGTATCTGCAGGCCCTGAAAGTTCAGGACACACCAATTTTTGATTCACATTTTTTGGATACTTCCAAACCGTTTTTCCTTTATTTTCCGTTAAAACTATAATCTCCTATCTTCAAGCATCATGCATTTTGATAATCAATTACATTCTTTGGTTCCTAACAATTTTATAGCTAAAACAAAAACAAGAAATTTAGTCAATGTTTACATCATCAAATAACATTCAATTATCACTTACCTTTAATAAATCTCGATTGATTTTTATCCTGCTGCACCTTATTGTTTGCTTTTGTTCATTAGCTACAAATTTCCACACTCCTGACTCTTAATTTTCTTGCGAAACTTAAGCGTTTTCTCTCCAATCTGTTATTTAGGAAAATTCGAAGATTTTGAGTTATAGGTACATGCGCATTAGCCATGGAATTCAACCTTGCATTAAAGATTGTCTTGCGTTTGCGGTGTTGTCGATTGTTTTTTGAAGAAAATAAATTTCACCGACAGCAAAAGTTGTGCTTTTGATAAAAATATTAGCATTATTTCTCATCTCTTTTATTTATTTTTGATAAATAATCACCTAATTTTCAAATATTAGGATACCGAATTTGAATGATTTTCCTACTTATTTTCATGTTCTAATGGCTCGATTCAGATGCCAGATTGTGCAAAAGTTAGTGAATCATTTAAGGGTTGTCAATTTTTTTCTGACAAGAAGCCATGTTGAAACCAAGTGGTTCTCTTCACGCTCTCTTTTCCTTCCGAGATCGCCATGGAAGCACATGTGAAATTTTTGAAATGAATTTTCACAAAAGAAAATATCGAATTGTCTACTTTAGGCAAAATGCCTAAGTAGCCTTAACGTTAAAACAATTTTTTTTTTCTGGTGCCGCAGTCCTATTTGAGGTGAGTTTTTTCAATTCAAATTTTATTGAACCACGTTTTTCGTAATCCAACTTTTCGACAAGATCTATGTCTTGTGCTTAGTTTCCCTTTAAATTAGCTTCTACACTAAAACTAAGACTCTCCTGTAATTGTTTTAGGACTTCTTTTGGGAGACTGCAAATTTACCGAGTTATTACCTTTTCTGCCTTCTCAATGCCTGCCAAATTAAATTGGTTATACAACTCACTGTACATTATTCCCATATGACATGAGAGGCTTAAGAAGTGATAAGCCTTTTGGGATTATCGCGCTTGGTGGCAATATTGATATTAATAATAATAAAAATTAATAAAGCATTGAAGTTTAGTTCGTTGTATAACCTTTTGAATACCACTCGATGTTTCAGGATTACCTAATACTTTTACCTGACACTCAACGCGTTACCAGCAACACCACTCCTCCTTCGGAGTCGTGGTGTTGCTGCGTAACGCGTTTCGTGACAGGTAAAAGTATTATCCGATAATACTGAAACCTCTTGTGGTATTACATTCGATAAGCCTGCCGCCATGTGTTTAACAAGCTCACGTATTTGACGTAGGTACCTACTTACCTGTCGTACCTAATAGATGATTTGGCTCTAGAAAATCAACCGTTAATTAACCAGTGCCGATTGCCGAGAAAAACGAAGAAAAATAATGATTTAGTGATGTACAATTTATATACCTAATTTTTTAACGCCATGTGGGGTAATATTCTTTATTTTAACGCCATGTTGGGTAATACCTTTAGTAATACTTACCATGATTTTATATGTTAAGTTTGGGATTCAAATTCAAAACTTATTTTTAATTGCCTGTTTGGCAATTTTTTTTTAAGTATAGCTGATGTTTGACATGTATGGGTTTGGTATAGTTGTTTTATAAATCAGCTCATATTTTTTTTTTGTAAAATGTGGGATAAATTTATTTCTTAAATTAATCCTCCTGGTAAATGGAAACTTATATTTTTTTTTGTGACTAAAACCTAAAAGTATGTTAGTCCAAGGTACCTTTGATCAAGTTTTTTGATGCATCATTATTGTGTCATACCTATGTATTTTAAGTAAGTATTTTTTTTGTCGGAGCGCAACACTTTGTGTAATTTTTGTTTTGGGTCAAGACATTCCGATACCTACTTAGATTTGTTGTTTTTTATGTTTTGATTCCAATCAAAATTAACAACATTACAATATTTCAAAAATTGTTCTAAAAATTACTGCATATAAAATTCATCTGTGCATTATTAACTGATTTGTAGTCGTGACGTGTAAAAAGCTCTTACATGTTTTAATGGTTACCCAGGGTCTGCTCGTCATGCTAAAGTAAGCAACATATTTTCTAATGATAAGTAGGTACCCACCTACTGCTGAGCCATATTCAGGAAGTTGTTAATATCTATTTGTAGAATAAAAACTAAATCACCTTTTTGCATATTATTATTATTCCATAAATTTTAATTAGCCACATTTTTACATTCATATGACGTCACTTGTTAGCACTTAGGACAACGTTCTCGTCTAATACACTTGCCATTATTCATAATGTATCCTCGAATGCAAGTGCATCTTTCAACACAAACTGCTGGACAGGCGATATTTGGATCTCTTATAGGATATGGATTCTGGCAAGTTGGTACTTCATCACAGTAGGAGGCGCAGGTATTTAAGTATTCGTTGGGACCACATTTTATTTCACTAGCTAAAATTTGACAAACAGGTACTATTAAAAAAATAGGAGTTCACTCATTGATTTCTTACCCGTCGCATAATTTATGAGAAAAACACACACCAAAGGCAGAAAAAAATTCATTTTGCAGATTGATCACCCACTTTTCGAAATAAAAAAATGTTGTGTGTTGATTTTACGTTGATGAAGTATTTATATAAATGGGCATATCTAACTTTTCATAAAATACATAATAAAGATTATAAAAATAGCTATATTTGCATTTAAATTCTAGGCATGCTGGCAATGAGCTAATTACAAATATGCATAAGGCTATTTATAAAAAAACAATGGGTATGAATAATGTAAATGAGGAAATATGACAAATGTTAAAATAAACATGAAGCCTAAATTTAGCAAACCACACAATAATGCAGTTTTTTTAAAAATTAAACTCATTTATGTTAATTTATATTCTTATGCTTTTTGTTTGACACTTTTAATTGCTTTTTTCCGTGCAATTAATGCCAATCAACAAACAAGTAAGATATAAAATCTACATCAACTATTAGAAGTAATTTTGTTTTTTTTTAATTAGGCTTAACTTATTTTTCTTAGTTTTAGTTCTTTTAAGCAGTGTTTAGCTTACGGTAAGTTTCCAAAAAGGCTGCCTATAAAGACTATCTTGGATTCACGTTTTGAGTACCTATTTTAACTTTAGGTGATGAAAGATGCGGTCCAGAAAGGGATGGTTCAATGACTGCGCATCTTTTTGTGATATAGAAGCTTCTCGCGAAAACTCATATCCAGTGATTTAACATGTCAGAAACCGAGGGTTGGTTTTTAATAAATGACTTTATTAACAATCCGAAATTATTATTAGCAAAAACACGTTACAATAAATTTTACAATTATAATTAATTTCAACTGACTGACTATCCTATGAAAATATATATATTTATAATAAGACACCAGAATAAAAAAACAGAAACAGAAAAACCGAATAAGCATTTTAAATGAGGACTCAGCAAATAGACGTGATATACTTCTCCCTTCTTAGCTTCAACTTCCACACTAGCGGGGGAGTTAAATACTCCGGTTTTCTTCTGGAGCGGGGGTGGACCTCTTCTTCATGATGGCTTTTACATATTTCATGTAGATAAACCAAGAAGATACAGGCAATAACGACATAAGGATGAGGACATATATAAGGATTGTCCCAAAAGCTAGGTATTCTATTGATTTCGGTGAAACTCAGTTGTGGGCGTATGTCCATTACTTCTTTGCTCAATTGGTGAAGGTCATCTAATTTCAAATATTTTAGATGTCGACTTAGATTGAGGGTCGGCATCATGGCGACTGTATTTGGTATGTCAGGAAACAGTATCGGTTGAATATCGGTCTTGATTATCCTATTTTCGTTGATAACTATTTTGGAAGCGGTGGCCACCTGGCAACCAATTGGTATTTGGGGCAAAAATGTTCCATTGATGTTTTGTATTTCTTTCTGTTGAAAGATTTGGATGGCTTCTTTGACAGGAACAACCAATATCCATTGATTGGAATCGTCCAATCGATTGATGATAATTTGCAGGACTTTAACTTCGGTTTGTTCGCAGGTAGAGGTATTTTTGTCAGAGTGGAGTAGTTTAATTTCGCATGGGCTGTCTTCTTGGATTTCGCGAATGTCTTCTTTTCCACAAATATAGAACTTCGGAATGATTTCGTGACATTTTTGGCCATAGTATGTGTAGTGCAATTTATTTTTCAGCAAGAATTTATTTCGCGGTAAGACAACCTTAAACTGAATCTGAGAAAGGATTGGAACCGAGTATAAATGGAAGTATCCAACAATTTTCGGATACATTATTGGTAGGTACCTATACATATGTATTAGGTATGTTATTCTATTATTAAACAAAAAAGATTCCAGTTCGATTATTTTTCCAAAAAGTGGAGTATTTTCCAAAGTGACCGCTAGGGGCATTTGTTCAGAACTTAAACGCTATTGTAGTTCTTTTAATTCATGATAAAGGTCTTCATTTTTTATTAAACTTGGATGCATAATTTTCAATTATGAAAAAGTTAAGATATTTTCTATATCTTGTAAAATAGAGTCAATTATCTCATAGATATTGACTTTGATTTATTATGTCTTTGATATAGACTATAGAGGGAATTTTCTCTAATGCTGCCTTCTGTACCATGTGTGCAATTTTTGATTCTAGAAGTTTTTCGTTGTTTAATAGTTTTTTAATAGTTGATAATGGTTGATAGTTGATAATGGTTAAATTTTTCAATTGCTGTTAGAGAAAGTTCTGTTTCAGACCATTGTCCTGTAAACTATTTTGATTGTTTTGTAATTCCCTAATGATGTGCTCGTAACGTTCTACTCGGTGAGTCTAGGTTTCCAGTTACAGATTTGAATATTGAGCCTAACGCGTTAATTAATCTTCTCCTCTTTTGATTCTTTGTGGCTAGATTTTATGTGAAGTTAATTTATTTTACGCATTATTGGGTTCAAGTCCTAATAATGTATCAGGGTGTAGGTGTAATCTTTGATTTTCGCGTGCCCTAATTTGACTGGAATCATGCCGGGATTGTCATCCAATTTTCTGATGATTATTTGTTCTTGACTTCCAAGCGCGTAGGCAAAAAAGCTGAAATATAATACTTAGTGTTATCAAGCTGATAAACAAGCGTACGATATAAAATGCATTTATTATAGTTAATTAGAGTAATAATTTTAATATTAGTTATTTATACACCAAGTGAGTTAAATGAATGTTTATTCATGAGAAGAAAGTTTAACCCACGAGCCCTAGCGAGTGGGTTAATTTTCTTCGAATGAATAAACATTTTAGCTCACGTGATGTATACAAAATTTTATCCCATTTTGATGGACATTTACAAAATTAAGTACTAAATAAGAATCAAATTATAAAAAAAAATTCATTCAGCGAGCGCTAATGTCTAATACCTAATACCTACTGAAACTGGTAGTTGCTAGGGTATAGCTAGTTGTTTGTTTGTATTTGTAGCAGATTTTTGTACTGGCAGAGTGACTTAAAAGACCGAGAGTGAGTTAAAAATATTTTAAGTCACTCAGGTGATTAACGTATACTTACCTTTGTTATTATCCGTTCAATAATGTCATTTTTAAATGTCAAAATGGGATAAAATATTTTATCCTATTTTGATGTTTAAAAATGACATTATTGAACGCATAACAATAAAGGTAAGTAGACTTTTATCACCTCAGTGATTTAAAAACATTTTAACACACTCTCGGCATTTTAAGTCACTCTGCCCAACTAAAAATCTGAAACCTCAGTGATTTAAAATATTTTTAACTCACTCCCGGCATTTTTTCTTCTACTTTATTTTTGAAATTTTCACGAAATGGAATAAAATTTTGTATTCTAAGAAAATTAACCCACTCGCTAGGGTTCGTGGGTTAAACTTTCTTCTCATGAATAAAAATTCATTTAACTCACTTGGTGTATAAATAACTATTATTCTTAAAACTAGGTGTCAAAACTACCTATTATCCGTTCACAATCCGATGTCCACTGGTACCGGTAAAGTTTATCACCTTTCAGTGCTATTTGACAGGGAAAGGTAAAAATGTACCTGCATCTGTGGACATCGGATTGTGAACAGGATATATATTTATTTCTCATGGGACGTTCAATGTTACCCATGTGTACTTTTCCGTGTGAGGTCGTTGCTATTGTTTTGCGTACTGGGTCAACGGTTTCAACTTGTGTCTGAGGTGTAAACTTATCGGCTAGTTTTTGTATGTATATTTTTTGTTCTGGGTAGAATAATGTTGGTTTATCGGAAGTTTCATTAATCTTTCCTATAATTTTTTCTTTCTGATTTATAAGTTTTTCATTCATAGCCTTGAGTATTTAAATTTCTCCTCAGGCGTCGTGTCTTTTACTTCGAGGACCATGGGATCTCGAGCATTTCTGATGGACGTGGTTCAATGTTTCTGGTCCTTGGCATCCAGCTCTGCACGAGCGGTCTGATTCTGGTCTGCCCTCAGTTGTTCTAGATAAAGTAGGCAGGGCATTGATTCTTGTTCTTATTCAGTTCAGGAAGTTCTTCCCAGATAAGAGCCGGGTCGGTTCTCTAATGCATCTGTGTACCTGTGGTATCTTGGCGACTTCCGTCAGGCCATGGCCGTCCACCACGCCACACAAATTAGATTTCCATATTCTGCTGAGGACCTCAGGTTCAATTCATTGCATTTAAGCTTCTCCACTTTGTCGAATTCAGTTGCCAAAAAGTAGTTGGTTATGTAGTTCTCATCGAGCAACGGCAGCTAAAGGTTTAGCAGCTTCCTCCTTCTGATCGTGGGGCCCCAATCCAATCGACGGGATCGCAAGTCCACCGTTTTCTGTGCCGGCATGTATAAATGCAGTGGGGGTGTCGCGTGGTAGGTGGAGCCATTTCCTGACGTACGATCTAATGAGCCCATCCGTTTTCAGAAGGCAGCCCACCATTACGTTGCCTAGTGCCAGTTTGTGGAAGAGTTTTGGAATAACATAAACTCTTAGGGATGAAGTCCATGATGTGGCTTAAGTAGGGCTGCCGATAGCTATCAAGGAGTGGGCTTATAGTCCAAGATTCGGCAATACTAACGGGTAAGTGATCGTTGCAATGGATAATTTCTTTATAAAACAATAGTTCATAGTAACCTTTAAACCAAATGGATGGGTTGCCTCGATTCTCATGGCCGTCAAGTTGTTTTATAAAAAGATACTTCAAGAACCATAAGCGCAACAAATAAGAAGTACCTAGCGGTCTAGGGGGTTCTCATCATATGCGGCAAACACTTTATTAACACAATTTCATGTTTCTTTTTTTGTCTAAAGACCTACAGCCGTATGCAAAATCCTCTTCACAGAGTCTTCTTTTAACTATAAATGTGACTTTGAAGGCTGTCACTTTTAAAAATTTCTATTTAGCAACCAAAATAACGCGTGCGCTCGACTTTCAATGAGGGTTGCCATCATTTCCGGCCATCATTAAAATCGAGGCCGCCCTATGTATTATTTGAGAAGACATATTAAAGAATATATCTACCAATTTTCAGCTATTGAAACGATAACATTGTTCCTTCGGAAAAAGAGGGGTAGTTTACGCCCAGCCATCAAAGGGTTGCGGCCATGAGAATCGAGGCCACCTATCCATTTAGTTTAAAG